ACAGAGATCTGCCTGCCTCTGCCTCCTGAGTGTTAGGATTAAAGGCGTGTGCCACCAATCTGAACGTGTGGCGCTCAGAATGTTTGTTAAAGAGATATCTGAGCCAGTTGGTGGTGGCTCTGGCCTTTAATCTCAGCACTCCAGAGGCAGAGGCTGGTGGATCTGAGTTCAAGACCAGGCTGGTCAAAAGAATGAGTTATAAGACAGCCAGGACAACACAGAGAAACCCAGTCTTAAACAACCAAAACCAAAACAACAACCAAAAAACCCGCAAAACAAAGATCTGGCAGAACTGGGGAATTAAATCCTGGGCTCTATAGATGGGATCCAGTGTGTCCATCAGCCCACACCCCATCATGTAGTCCTTTACCTTACCGGATTTTCTGTTTATTTGTCAGCTCAGGTTTTGTATCTGTGCTTTAGACCTTTTCTCCTGTAACCTGTAGCAGGCCTTTTTGGACCACCAGCCAAAAATCATGACATGGAGACTTATTATTAACTATGAAAGCTTGACCTTAGCTTAGTCTTATTCCTAACTAGTTCTTATAACTTAAATTAACCCATATTTCTTAATCTACATTATACCATGTGGCCTGGTTACCCTTACGTTGTACTGTCCATCCTGCTTCTTCTTCATCTGTGTCAACTCTGCTTTTCTTCTTCCCAGGGTTCTCTCCCTGCCCTGAAGTCCTGCCTATACTTGCTGTCTACCTATTGGCCATTTAGCTCTTTGTGACACCAGTCACAGCAGTATGTTTTCACACAGTGTACAGGAATATCACAAAACAGTAACCTGGCTTTATCCTCATCTGGTTTTCCATCAGTCCCTCATGGACCTTGCCAAGCCCTTTCCAACCTCAGGACTCTGGATTTGTTGTTGCATTTATCCAAGATAACTTTCGCTGTCCCAGTTCACTTCTGTCTGGTTTTATAGCTTAGGATGACCTTGAACTTCTGATCGTTTCCTCTCTTTATCTCCTAGATTAAATGTCACAGCTTAGAGGAGTTTTCTCCAATACCTTATCTACAGAAACCTATTTTTCATTTTTTTCCTTTGATGCAAGGTTTCTCTGTCTAACAGTTCTGGCTGCCCTGGAACCCACTTTCTAGACCAGAATGGCCTGGAACTCAGAGATCTCTTGTCTCTACCGCCCAAGTGCTGAGATAAAAGTTGTGAGCTACCACTACGCAGCTACAAAGCCAATCATTATGACATGCTCTATTTAGTGAACTCCAAGCCAGGTACGGCTAGGAAAAACAAAACAAAACAAAAACAAAAACAAAGACAAAATGTATCAAAATAATGAGTGGTCAAAACTGTATAGTGTAAGTTCAAACTAGAACAGAAAGAACTGAAAAGACCTCCCAGTAAAAGTAGTAAAAGCCCAGCAACAACCTGTGGCTTGTTTCCTAATCCACAAAAAAGCACAATAACTTTTTTTTTCCCTGACTAGGTCTTCCAATATAGCCTAGGCTAGCCTGGAACTCACATTGACTAAATCTCCTCTTTCCATTAATTGGGCTCTTTTTATTGGCTTACTGAGGACAGGAGGCTGAACCTGATTTGGGGTACAGGTTGTGACCTCCAAGTTTGATAACACTGTCTCCAGACCCTCTATTTACTTCTTATACCCAACTGATATATCTTCCAACTGCTCAAAGGGATTTATTTTTACTTCCTCTGATTTTGGAAAGCCGCACTGAGCAACAGATGTCCATGTTATGTACTGTCATAATAATCTCTATGCTGGTTTTAACTGTCTCTCCTGACTCAACCTACTGAATGCTTAGAATTAGAAGCACTCACAAAGTCCTTTTCTTTAATGATGATATAAAAAAACTTCTTGTTTAGATTGTACTCATTTTCATCTTATATTTGTTTCAGCCCAAGAGTGCCTACTGACCATGCATGAGGCCCTGAGTTTTATCCTCAGTGCCAATAAAAAGACAAAGAAAGATGGGCATTGGTATGCACGCCTTTAATCCCAGCACTCCGGCGGATTTCTGAGTTTGAGGCCAGGCTGGTCTCCAGAGCGAGTGCCAGGATAGGCTTCAAAGCTACACAGAGAAACCCTGTCTCGAAAAACAAAACAAACAAACAACAACAAAAAAGGAAAAAACAGAAGAAAGAAAAGGACAAAGAGCTGGAAATGTAGCTCAATTGTTAGAATGATTGCCTAGCAGCTAGCACAAAGCCCTGGGAACTACAACACACACACACACACACACACA